CCCCTGGAGGGGAAAACTGTATCTGAAGTCTTCCAGGAAAGGATTAGTTGTACCTGATAGTGAAATTTTGCAGAAAATAAAGGTTCTGAAGTTCTTGATAGGAAAGAAACGGCACCTCTGAAGTTGGGTTTCCTGATTCCGGGGCAATTTCCTTATTCCTGTTCAATGATTACAACTTTGTTTTAACTGGTTTTGCCAAGAAGCAGCAACAAAAGCAGAGTTGATTAAGGAAAATGAAGAAAAAAATGCAAAAACAGAACACACATAAAAGGTCGTGGCTGCTTCATAGATGTTGATACTGGAGGTCATCCTTCCCATAACCGTGTTTTAGCTGCCACCTGTGTAGCCCAGCTGGGACACTATTACCCTGTGTTACAGTTATTACCTGATTTTAAAAAAAGTGGTAGTCAGCGAGACGTTATGTATGTTTTGATGCAATGGAAAATGTTCTTCCTAATGGAAGCCTGTTGGAATAGGACAAATCCTTGTTTATTTCATGTCTGAATCTATATATCCAGCTGTAGGATAGATTGGCTGCTGTTTATGGTGTTTGTCATTATGGACACACCAGTATGAAGAACGATTTCTAGTGTTCAGTGCTCTGGAGGAAATATTTGAGAACCCAAAGCTGCCACTCCCAATGTAGATAATCTGGTAAATTTCTGGTCTGGACAAGCTACTTAGCCTGCTGTAATCTGCTTTCCTGGATGATTAGAATTTGGTTATAGTATCATGTGCGGCTCAGATCGCAGGTATTTGACCTTGACTGATTTCTGTCCCTTTTTACATTTGAGTGAACTTTTGATGTTGCAGCAAAAACGACTCACTGTGCTTATGACAAAGCACAAAAACTCTCTAGGAAAACATTCATCCACTGATCATTTAACCATGAACTATGACTAATAGCTATCTAAATGGAATGGAGGTTAATGATTCCAAGAGGTTACAGGAAAAAGTCTCCGTGTTTCCTAGCAATAACACTTGAGTCTGTCTTGTTTCTTTTGTAGAACCTTTCATCCTGTAATCTCAAAATGCCCAGAAAGAATCCTTTTATATAACCTGGAATATGTCTTTTTGAAAAGCCTTGTAATGTTGTCCTTGGAAACATCATGGTATAGAGCTTCAACATGGCTTGCACAGTATGGCCTGCGACATCAGCTAGCGCTCGCTCTACTTTCTGTCACCGGAAAGCAGTGAACTACAAGAGGCTCAACTGTATTGGCCTCTATTTCCAACAGACTCACGCACAACTCTCGCTCACACACACTCACATACAAAGCTGGGAAAATTTTATGAATCCCTTTTTTAAAAAAAAAAAATTAATATAAAATTATAGCAAAAAAAAAAAAGAGGAACATGAACTTTAGTAATAGCTGGAACAATCCACGGTGGCAGCAGCAGAGGTGGGAGAAAACATTTAATTTAGTTGATTTTCTGCGGTTGTTGGTCAGTCGCAGTCTCATGGTGATGGAAGCTGCACATTTTTGTTTTGAAGGGACCAAGAATCTGTTGGAGGTTTGGTTTCTCCTGGCTGCAATCTGATGCAAACCAAGGGTCTGGGGGTCTTTGCGCTATCCCCACATCTGAGTGGGATGGACTTTTGAAGGATGTGCAATGTTCAATTACAAAACTGCCAAGCAGGAAGCTTATGAATTCAGTGAGAATAGCATGTTTGTCTCCAAGAGTCGTTTCATTCTGAAGACCCGTGGTACCACCCTCTTGCTGAAAGCACAGGTTCCGCTGTTGAAGCTTGCTAGGGATTACAGTGGGTTTGACTTAATTCAAAGCTTCTTTGATTCTTGTAAGAATCTCATGAAGCCTTATCAAGGATACCCACGCTGGAATTTCCAGGAAGAAACAGAATTTCTTAATGCAATTTTCCCAAATGGAGCAGCATATTATATGGGATGTATGAAGTCTGACTGTGGGTACTTGTATACTCTGCTTTTCCCAGAGAGTAAGGTAATAAGTCAGCCTGGAAATTTTGATGAGTGAGCTTGACCCAGCAGTTATGGACCAGTTCTACATGACAGATGGTGTTACTTCGAAGGACGTCACTCACGAGAATGGAATTTGTGACCTGATACCAGGTTCTGTCATTGATGCCACACTGTTCAATCCTTTGTGGGTATTCAGTGAATGGAATGAAATCAGATGGAACTTACTGGACTATTCACATCATGTCAGAACCAGAATTTCCTTGTGTTAGTTTTGAAACAAACTTAAGTCAGATCTCTTCTGATGGCCTGATCAGGAAAGTTGTGGAAACCTTCCAAGCCAGGAAAATTTGTGACCATCTTGTTTGTTCGTTAGAGTTCTAAATGTCACACAGTGCTTTCTTCACCCCAGAAGATTGAAGGGTTTAAAAGTCTTGATTGCCAAAGTGCTATCTTCAATGATTACAATTTCGTTTTTACTAGTTTTGCCAAGCAGCCGCAACAACAGCAGAGTTGATTAAGGAAAATGAAAACAAAACAAAACAAAAATGCAAAAGGAGAACACATAGAAGGTGGTGGCTGCTGTATAGATGTTGGTACTGGGGGCCATGCTTTCCGTAACTATCACCTTGTACTTGCAGAAAGCCCTAGATGTAATGATAGTGTAATCATTTTGAAGTGTATCCATTATTATATCAAGGAGTTAGATATCTTGCATGAATGCTCTCTTCTGTGTTTAGGTATTCTATGCCACCCTTGCTGTGAAATTAGAGTGCATGCAGAAAAAAACTTTCACTATATGAAACTTCACAACACTCGTGAAAACAGTTCAATTTGATTTATGCCCAGTGTAATATTTCCGCAGGTATCTTCCAAAATTCCCCAGACAAGGCTTTCATCCTCATTGGGTGTTGACCTCAGGCTAACCATCTGGGACTGTTCTGTTATATCGCTGCCAGAATTTTACATCCAGTTACCTCCACTTTCTAGAACACATTCTCTACTAATGTTATTGAAACCAGTTTCTACTTCATACAGATTTTTTTTTTTGCAACAGCAATTAAATCTTTGTTTCACAAACAAGTCCTTAAGAAAGTGATTCAAATTACTCACTTTGTGTATTAGTATTTTAATAATTGTCTCTGCATTTGTAATCCTTTGATATCTTCCCTCAACCTCCAACCCCACAAATGAAGTAATATACTTACACTGTGGGTTTATATAATAATCTTACACTCCAGGTGGGGGAATGGGGAAAAGTCTCCGGGTTTAATTTTCTTTTAAGTGCATATTAATTTGGCCTCCTTTTAAATTGCATGGGCTCTTTGGGAAGGTAAGTGACAAAATTAAATATCTTCCACAAAAGAATTTTAAGCATCTCTAATATCGACTAGCAGGGAGGACATATAGAGTTATAGATTGAGATTAGGGTGTGCTGACTAAACTGTACACCCCATTCTGTGCTGTGCTCTTTAATAAATGAGATTAGCTTCTAAAAAAAAAGGCTTCAAAATAAGAAGCAGCTTGAGGTTGACCAGATTAATCAAAAGAAATTATTTTTAATGCTCCTAACTCAAGTCATTCATTACATTAACTTTTTTCCCCTATTGGGAATAGCATTTTTTATCATATGCTGCTATGAAAATATTTTCTGAAAATTCAATTTCACGGCATGTTCCTTGCTTTTTTTTTTTTTTTTAATATAGAGAAGGTAGAAGGTAGAGATCTCTGATAGACACTATTCTTCCATTATGCTTTGGAATTAAAAGAAGATAAAAGTGGTAGATATTTCTTTCATTGACTGCAGTCATCCTTTTAGCATTATATTTAGCTTCAAGGGATTATTAATTCCTCCCAGAGCACATTATGGCTTGAAGGTACAAGGAAGTAAAGCACCTGGTGTAATATCCTGAAACAGGTACCTGGACACTCTGCTTCTCTCAGCATCTGTGCATAAACGAAAAGACCACATCTAGATGGAAATCTCCCTCCTCTGCTCATGGACCTAGGCGGCCTACAGTCATGGAGGGCATTTTTTTTTTTTTTTCATTTTCTGTGGAGAACTATCCTATCCTATCAAATCAAATGCACTTTTTATCTTAGACATTATTTCTGAGTTATCTTTTTCACTTCTCAGCATAAATGACAGCTCAGCAGTTTGGATCTGTGACATCAGCTTCGTTCAAAAATAACCTTTTGAATTCATTATCCCATTCCCATTTAACAGGCAGAGTTTGAGAATAAGGTCATTTGATATATTCTTAGTTCCATTAAGCAAAAATAAGTAAACAGTAGTTAAGGTGAACTGAAAGTCTGAAGTTCATTTGACAGCACAAATCCCAGTGTCCTCATTCAAGAGTTTTTCCCTCCCAATTTCATGATCTTGAGAGCACTGCATGATCCATAGGTACAGGAGCTCAAGGATTACCTGACTTCAAACTCCCCAATCTGACAGCTCCTTACACAAGTCATGTGAAATACAGTTTGGCTTCTTCACCTTACTCACCAAAGTGATATTTTCCAAATCCTCACACAAAGATGAGGTTGGAGAGATGACAAGATCACATTATCTAATGGCCTCCTAAAATCACCTAGCAAGGTTGAGGTTCAGATATGTTGTTGTTTAGGGTTCATATGAGTTTTCACCAATATGCACATACCACTTGAGGGATTTATACTTAGGAGAAGGGTTGTTATCTGGAGTGATTTGTACTTTGAAATATTGGTGTGAAACAGAACTGCATTGGCGTTCAACCTTTCATAGAAGTGAGACTCTTTTTAACCAACTATGAACATTGTACCTGGACAGAAACACTGTACCCTTGAAAACACATGCATTAATTGAACCCAAGGGCCCGGTAAACAATCAGACAAAGCTGCCTTTTTTAGAATTGCAGAGATTCATGCATTGTTCAAATTCTCATCTTCTCCAGCTTTGCCTCACTTTCCTTGTAGCACACAATAAACGAACAAACAGATTTGTCAGGAGCACAGATTGGACTTTCTTGAGGAAACTTTCTCAGGTATCTGATTATTCAACTTGCCGCCCCTGGTAGCACTTACCTGATGTTACATAAAATGTACGTTATGCCTGGCAGGGTGGCATGCGTCTGAAATCCCAGTAACTTGGGAGGCTGAGGCAGGAGGATTACAAGTTTAAGGCCAGCCTAGGCAACTTGGTAAGACCCTGTCTGAAAATAAAAAAACAAAAAGCTGGAGATGTAGCTCAGCGGTAGAACAACCTTGGGTTCAATCCCTAGTACTAGGGGGAAAAAGTTCTTTACATAGAATTTTTTATCTTCTGATCCCTTACAAGGTAGTTGTTTTTTTTAACCAAAAGTCAACTTGTTTCTACCAAAAGTTGAATTCTGTTCAGGATAAATGATGGAGGACTTTCAGACACATAGTTCTGCAGGTGATCTTGTATCTCATAGGCAAGGCTTTCTGTCCAGAGCAAAGCACAGCATTTACTTCTGGGTTGTATTTTTCTTTTGTTGTTGTTGTTGTTTTTGATTAGAGAAATGTATGAATTATGTCATGGGATTTGTTTTACACAAACCATAACACACGTACCCATTCTCAAAGTGATCATTGTACTTGTTCAAATACTAGAACATTTTTGGAATTCCCTTCAGAGGGTTTATTGCCCACACTGGGAATGAATCAGCACTTCACATGGAGAGTGCCAGTGTCGGGTTGTCTCCCTTCCGGCCCTCTGTCACTCACCTGGGCTTCACCCAGCCTCTCCTTCTTGGCTACTCGAGTTGGCTGCTCATGAGCCCCAGAGCAGCTGACTCTCTCTGGACTCCTCCTCTAGGATCTACCAAAAAAAAAAGTAGAAGAACTTTGTAGGAACTAAGTCAATTTTTTTTCCCCAAACAAAGATCCGAAGGAACTATCCTTCTTCTCCACCAATCAAAGCATCTTCTGGACTCCATCATCATAAATGTCTTAGATTTCTTAAATGTCACAGGTTTCTTCCCCATGGGCCCACCTCCCATGTTTTACTTGACCAAGAAGGTGACAAAGACTCCTGCTCTGTTTGTATCTCTTGTTCTCTAGGAAAATATTATAATTCTTAAATCTTAATTGTCATTACTTAGTTAATAAGCCTAGAGTAGGAGTTCTTTACAAGTGATTTTTTTTGTTGCATATTGTGCTTTTCATTGATGTCCTTTAAATCTTCTACGGTAGGCACTAATAACATATAGAAGTCACCCTTAATGATAAGACTACTTCCTCTTCTCAGCCTCCAAGTCCTAAATTAATGAGCTCTTTTCAAGACTGAAGATGTACAAAGGCATTCACCTAGTCAAGGGGAGCTTTGATGAGCCTCTGCTTTTAAACCTCGTCCGGAGTGTCATTCCCTTGAAGTCAACAGTTGTGCCTATTTTTGCGCACTGGTGTGTATCCCGTGCTTAGAGGAGTGTTTGGCATTAGTAAGTTCTCAATGACTGTGCAATCTGCCCTTGGGCTATTTTGAGAAGCTCAAAGCTGTTGATGGTGCTGGCTTGTGAAGTGTGAAGATTGGCGTGTGACTGGGAATGGCAAGGTAGGCATCTGTACCTGGTCCTGAGTAATTGGGAACTTGTAATCACACTGGACACATCATGCTCACAACAGTTAAGGTCAGAGCCTGCCTGGTTTGTCCATGCAGGGAGAAGGGAATAGACAAGATTTCCATTTCTATAACAGGTTGATTGGATACAGGTTTTAAATTTTGCCAGAACAATTTAACATGCTTCTAATTGGAAACCACATTCTGTCCAAATATTTAGGAAAACAGAACAAAAAATTTCCTTCCTGTTTAATGATCAGGATTTAACCAGTTGGATTAAAAGAATTGTGCTGTTTTTTTGGCTTCATTTAAGAATACTATTTGTTGCTGTGGACTACTTAATTCTGTGCTGTGTGGAAAAAAAAAAAAAAAAAAAAAAACAGAAGCCATTTGCTTCAATAGTACAAATGCCTGGTTGAGTCTCCAGCAGAGGGAACACGGTCTTAGGTTCTCAAAGCACAAGTTTCCTGGCAGGGAAGAAGTAAAGGATGTCAGCTTTTCAACATGCCCAGTTAATGTTCCAGGATGTGTGACACCATTGGAATATGCCATCACAAGGAGGTACCAGCATGTAGCTCTGCTCTAGAGCCCAAGGTGTCACAGTGTCAAGGCTGGGTTTAAGACCAAGCAAACGATCAAACACCAATGAAAGTCACCTTGAAGGCTTCCCTAGTGTACCAAAGAACCTTCACACTGGGAAGGGACCTAGTGACCACGCAGGCAAAGATCCACGTCACAGACCAAGACATTAAGTGCAGACAGGCTCCGTGAGCTGCCTGGTAGGAGACAACTAGCTAAAAACAGGGTCAGAATTTGAACTCAATAGCACTTCCCCAGTACGTTACCTGTTTTCTTCTTTATGCTCTCCTCGGCAAACTATTTATTCAGACTTTCACTAGAAAGAACTATTTGGTGCAGCCGGGTCAACATAGGCTATGCTGGAATGGCCAGGAGGAGGGCAAATTCTTCCTGTTGCCTTGGAAGCCTGGCCCATGGCAATCCCCCAGGGAGCCTTTGAGGTGTCCCTCAGCACCATGGTCAAGACACAGGTTTCCATTTCCGAGCCATCTTGGTGCTTCTGGTGGCGCCGAGAGAGAGGAGGGAGATTTGGGTTTAAGAGTTTAATTATTTTTGCTCAGGCCTTGATGTGATGTCAACCATCCACTGACAAAGAACACCGTTTGTTTATTGTATTATGTGGATTTCTTAGGGCACTTAGGAAATTGAGTAGAGAGAATGGAATGAGAAATAAAGCAACAAAAGTTCACTGTAAATTCTCAAAGGAATTGTGTAGTGTCTTTGGAAGTAATTTGAGCATCTGTATAGTCCTCTAGCCGCCCGGAGTTCTCAATTCAAATCCCAGGCAAGACCAACACCTTCCATTGTCCTACATTTATGTATTTTTGAAAAAAACAATTATCTTCCTTCCACATTTACTGTCATTTTTTGGGGGTGGGGGGGTACCGGGGATTGAACCCAGGGACACTTAACCACTGAGCCACATCCCCAGCCCTTTTTTTTTTTTGTATTTTATTTAAAGACCAGGTTGCACTTGTTTGCTTAGGGCCTCACTAAGTTGTTGACTTTGAACTCTTGATCCTCCTGCCTTAGCCTCTCAAGCCGCTGGGATTACAGGCGTGTACCACGGTGCCTGGCAAGAGTTTGCATTTTTGTTAGCATGAGTAAATGCTAAGTTTTACCAGATGCAATTTGTGCATTCATTACTAGGATCATATCACATTTCTTTCTTTTCTTGTTATATGATGAATTGCATTATTTTTTAAAAATAAAGAACAGAAATTTATTTCTCACAGTTCTGGAGGCTGGGAAGTTCAAGACCAGGGTGACTGGTGAGGGCCTCATCCTGGAGCACCCTGTATAGTGCTCTAGGGCACTGTGTCCTGGCAAGGTGGAAAAGGCTCAGGAGTTCCCTGGGGCCTCTTTTCTAAAGGTATGTTGATTGACTTTTGAAGGTTAAGCTAACCTTGAATTCCATTCCTGACCCCCCCACCCATGTAACTTGGTTGTGATATATTGTTACTTTTATGTGCTGATAGATTTGATATGTAAATGTTTGATAAATACTTTAGCATATGTCAATAGCCTTCAGCCAAAGACCACCAAGAATGCACTTGAAGTCTAAGTTGGGTTTCTTGCTCATTATCACAAGAGAGAATGCACATAAGAGGAAACATGTTTCAGAAAGAGGGAGTGAGCAAGGCTTTATCATAGGATTTGGTGTTCTCAGGGAGAAGGTAAGGAAGGAGAGCTTTGCTCTAATCATACTGTCAGAAAGTGAGGAATTCTATAATTGAGATCTTAATAAATCTTATCTGAATGACTGGGCGAGTAGATTGAAGTCACGGTTGTGATTGGTAAAGAAGCAGCAGACATGGCTGAACAGTGGTCTTGTCTTTGTATACAGCATGAATATGAAGTGGGATTACTTTGTCTTGAACCATCATGGCTACAAAGTGCCCTTACATGCTGTTCTGTGTGGGCTTTTGTCCAGTGAGAGAACATGGAGCCTTCATATGGGTGTCAGGCCAGCTTCTAGCAAGAGCAAGCCCCTAGTGCCATCCATGTGCTGCTCTTCTCTCGGGTTCTCTTCCTGATGAGAGAGATCCATGTGTAATTTTTCTTTCATTTTTTTTTTTTTTTGTGTGTGTGTATCTGTGTGATGTATTTTTCAGATTTTGGTATCCAGTTTATGCTGGCCTCATAAAATGTGTAAGGAACCGTTGCTTCTTTTTTACATTCTGTAGACAATTTTGTTAATGTTGGTATTATTTATTCTTTTTCTTTCCTTTTTTTAATGGTACTGGGGATTGAACATACTACACAAGTACTTTTATCATCTGAGCTCTATCCCTAACCCCCAGCCCCCACTCCTGCCCAGTATCACTTCTTTAACCGGAGAAATCCCTTCCTGACGTCATCTGAGATGGACAAAGTTTCTCTCCTTGCTCACACTTTCATTAGGCTCCACTGAATCCTCTTCTCCACCAGATCTTGACCTTCACGGTTGTCCTTGCTGGGTTTGCAGAGTTCAGCAGTGGCAGAAACTTGCTGAACCAGTTTAGAGAGGATCCCCTCTAGCAAGTTAGAGAGGATCCTTTGATAGACAATCTGCCTCCTTATCTGATGGAATTGCTCATCTCTTACCCTTGGCATTTGACCTCCCTGGTCTCTGGTCTGCCTTCAACTAGAACCTTGTTTTTTTTTTTTTTTTAAATTTTAAAATTTCTTTTAATTAGCTATACATGACAGAAGAATGCATTTATGCACTTTGATATATCATACATAGATGGGATATAATTTCTCATTTCTCTGAGTGTACATGTTGCAGAATCATACTGGTCATGCAGTCACGTATGTAACATACAGTAGTAATGTCTGTTTCATTCTGCTATCTTTCCTATCCAGTAGAGTGAGAAGCTTCCTACCCTTGAGATCGCCTCTTCAGAATGCTCCATGTACTTAACCCTTCATCTTTCTCATTTATATATTTTCTCTTCTAAATGGCTTAATTTTTTTCATCTTCCCCTCTAATAACTTTTTTTTTAAATAAGAATTTTCTTACACATTATTCCTACGCTCTTTTTTTGAAAGTTATCCTAGGGATTTAAAAGCTTGCTCTTATTCCAGTCTGACATGGGTTCTCTACCTCTTCTGTGCTAAAACTTTAAAGTACTTCAGCTCTGTGGACCATCTCTTTCATTTTGTTATTTTGTCATTACAGTTTAATTATCCACAAGGTCTTGTTACTATTTTGTAAGATTGCTATTCATTTAGATTTACATAAGGTAAATCTCATTGATCCTATCTGTATTTTATGTCTTTCTGACACATTGGGGACAGCACTGCTGAGGGTAGGATTCATTCTTTTTTTTTTTTTTTTTTTTTAAGTGTGGTGCTGGAGCTCGAACCCAGTGCTGTGTGCTAGGCAAACGCTCTCCCACTGAGCCACAACCCTAGCCCCTAGGATTCATTCTTGTCCTCTTCTTCCCTTTAGCATCTCAAAGCTACCTTGTAGTCCCCAACCTCACTTTGTCTTCCTAGTCCTGTAAAATTGCTTGAAGTTCTGCTGTCTTCTCTGACAAGAGCACCTTCTGCCCGATTTCTCAGTTTCTAGTTCAGTACCAAGAATTGACACCTGTCCTGAAGGTGACCTTGAGATGCTGAAAGTTAAGTTCACTTCTAATGCTTCTCTTCTTTGGACTGGTGCTCAAATTCTGCCTGGTTGTCTTGGTAATTCTCCTATTCCTTTAAGCAGAAAAAGATTTTATCTGTTATTTAAGTTTTCCTTTTAAAAGACGACTCCATTATATGTTGGTATAGGTAACGATTTCATGAATAGGACTCCAAAAGTCAAGAGTTGACAAGTGGGATTACATCCAATTAAAAAGCTTCTGCTCAGCCAAGAAAACAAGCAACAGAGTAAAGAGGTTGCCTACAGAATGGAAGAAAGTCTTTGCCAGCTATTACTCCAACTGGATTACTATTCAGAATATATAAAGAACTAAATAATTAAACACTCTTTTGGTAATACAGTCAATAAATAGGCAAATGAGATGAACAGAGACTTCTCAAAAGAAGTGAAAATTTCCAATAAATAAATGAAAAAAAAACATTCAACATTTGTAGCCATCAGGGAAATGAATCAAAACTGCTTTGAGATTCTATCTCATCCCAGATAGAATGGCTGTCCTCAAGAAAAAAACATATAATAAATGCTGGAGAGGATGTGGAGGAAAAGGAACACAAATACACTGTTGGTAGGAATCTAAATTAGTACAGCACAATGGAAGACAGTGTGGAGATTCCTCAAAAAAC